CTATAATGAACTATTAGACAAGTATACAACTGGCTACACATGTAACTTTTCTATATTACCTATTTAAGGAGTCTGCCTGAAGGTTTCCCACTAGTTGCTGTATCTAACACCTCTGCTTAGGTGTTCCATTTAAATCTTCTGATCTAACTTTAGTATTAATTTCACCAGGTTACAGACCTGGATCTATTCGCTATTAACCATAGAACTATAATCCTTAGACTATTTTTATCCTTGAGATAAACCTACCAGAGTGAGCCATATTCTTTTTTACTGCTAACCTGGTTTAATGCTATGATCGAGACTAACACTTGCAGTCAGAATTACCCCTTAAACTGCTATTACCCTTGTAAAATTCATTCAAACTCTGGTATCCATCTTTCTGACTTCTTTTTCATCATCTCCTACTAGCTACAACTTAGAACTAACTGACTCTCCAGACTTCCAATTCAGATAGCCTGGTATGGTATACTTATGTATCCTTTTCCTCTAGTGATTCTGGCAGCCTGGTTGGTCATATGCTCCTTTATACATATTTGTCATCTGGTTTATCTGACAGTTTCTATGAAGGTGTTTTATAGGCTTCCATCAGTCCAATAGCACCATCAAAAGTTTGTACTACCTCTTTATTCAGGATTTTCAAGTGAGTTTTTGTTTCTTCAGTTTCTTAGTCTTCTATGCCTGGTGGTCTTATTATGGGTTTGCCTGAAGCCTTATATAATACTGGTTTTACATTCCTCTATGTACATGTATCATGTAATGTTACACTTCACATAGTTGTCCTGAGCTCCCAATGTCAGGTGGGACCTGACTTGGTGTACCTAAGATTACAGATGCCCAAAACCCAACCGATCGGCAAGAGACAGTTACCATAACACAGATATAATTTCTAAAATTCATTGTCTGTGAGAATTGAATCTTAGAACTGCCACTTGAGGGTTGACAACCTATCCACTTTACTAGGTCATTACACCTCAAATAAGATGTTTGTAATTATAATTATACTAATATTATTAACAGAATATATAGCATTTATATAATATTAGTTATACAAAAAAATATAAACTAATACTAGATAATACAAATCTAATATAAGTTTTTGTAACTGTATAAATCTGTTAAAAGATATCTATTTTAGAAAATTCAAGTAGAAAGATAATATAAATCTTTATTAATATTATTGTAAAAACTAAACCTAAAAATCAGACATCAATATAAGAAATTAGACAGATAAAAACCTCTAGATGTAAAGTATTACCAATTAGGTTACTAGAATTTAAATTAAAGAAAAATAATATTAGATTAAACTTGATATACCAAGAACAAATTATAGTCCTACTAGACTATCTGAATTAGGAGTCTAAAAATAAAACAAACATATATTAAAATACTAAAGATATGCTATAAAATTAATACTAAAATTTAAATAAATTCTGCAAGAATATAACTTTGTTAATAATTTATAAAATGAATAAATTAGTTAACAAAAGAATGCTTTAAGTTTTATAATCAGATAATATGCTTTAAAGCAAATAATGACTTAATAATAAGAATGTAATGACTTAGTAAAGAAATAAGTTGTTAACCTTCCAAGTAGTAGGTTATAAGTTCAAAACCTACTAATAACAAAAATTTAGATAATTATCTATATTATATATAAACAGTATTATAGTAATGGCATTTTATCGATCAGTTGGAATAAGATATCTGTAACTATAGTTGTATTAGCATGATTGACAGATTATAAAACATTTGTACAATGTTGAAGTTATATAAAGAAATGCAAATCAGTATTAAGTAATGCAAATCCAAGATAAGTTCTTGTAACTATATAAAATCTATAGAACTGAGAAGCCAGAGCTTACTTAAAAAAACTTGAATAAAGAGGTAATACAAATTTTTAATAGTACTACTGTAAAGACTAGACCTAGGCAACAGCTATTAATATAAAAAAAATTGAATAAACAAGAATCTTAGATAAGGAATATTACCAACCAGGCCATCAAAAGTCTCAAATCAAAAGAAAAAGATCTTAGAAGGTGAAACTCTAAGATACTAAAAGCAGATTACAGTCCTTCTGAACTATTTGAATTGAAAATTTAAAAACAAAAATAGAAATATACTATAAATACTAAAGATATATTATAAATTTAATACTAAAATCTGGATGAATTCTGCAAGGATAAGTTCTGTTAACAAAAATTAAATATAAGTAGTTAGTTAATAGAAGAACCTTCTGGAGCCTTACAGTTTAACATATTTTAGAGTTCTAATCTATTATCTATTTATTTATTTATTTATTAAATATCTATTATCTAAATATATTTGAATATCTGGTTACTATTGATATCTTGATAATTATTCAGATATTTGTTAAATTATCTGAATATTAATGGTAAATGAATATTTAGATAAATTTAAATATGAATAAAAGGATAATGAATTTATCCAGATTAGAACTCTAATATATTCTGAAATATGTAATAGTTTAGCTGACATATAGATAAAAAGGTTAAGATTAAATTAGATAACACTTCAATGTATAGAAACTTGTGTATTATCTGTTAGATATAGTATAGAGATCAGAATATTTAATTAGATAATCTTTTAGTAGATTATAGATATAACAATTAGTATAAAACCTGCAAGTAAACTACTTAAATAGATAGTCAAAAACTGTATATATGACTAGTAATATACTTACTTCGTACAAGTTATATAATTATAATTAAATCACAATAAAAGCAGTAACTGCTAATAACCAATAGCTTTAATAAAAACAAAAAAAAAACTTAATAATCATACAGAAAGAAAGACTAAATTTTAGGTTAAACAGCATTTAGATATATAAAAACCAGGTGCTATTTGTCTAATACAATATAAAAATCAATGAATAACCTTTTAGTAGATTATAAATATAACAACTAATATAGAACTTGCAGGTGAACTACTTAAATAAATAACTAAAAGTTGCATATGTAACTAGTTGCACACTTATTTTGTACAAGTTATATGTAATGTATAATTAAAAACAATAAAGACAACTGCTGTAAACATCAACCTTAGTGAAAACAAAAAAAAAAATTTAACTACTAAGTTATAGAACCCAAACTATTTTATTTTTTTATTAAGATTACAAATAAAAATATAATTTAAATAATTTTAATATTTTTATATCAAAGTTAGTATTGAACAATGTTCAAATAAACTCAATTAGATTTTAAACATTTGAATATTTGAACAATATCAATTAATTTTATTGATTTTTTGAGCCATTAAGAATTGAAAAATGTTTAATAAATTATTAAATTAATTAAATATATGTCTAATTAAATAAATTAAACATGCGCCTAATTGTTTAATAATTTTATTAAATAAAATTCAGTAATATAAAAAATAAAATTTTGCTTTTTTTAATGATTTTATAATTGAAAGTTAAGTTTTAATATTTTGTTTTTTAATTTAAATTTGAATCACAATTCTGATCATAATTCCTATTATGCATTATGGAAATAACTTAATAATAACATAAAATTATAACAATTTTGCTATATAAGGGTAACGAGGTTGATATTAATGAGAGACGACTGTATATGAGTATCCATGTATGTGTCTAAGTTATTAATATTTATCCAAATTAACTGTACTTGATATCAATATAAAAATAATTTTAAACTATTATTAATAGTTCAGTACTTTAAACAAATTATTTAATATACATTATACCTGCCAAATCCTAATATATAATAAAAGTTTATTTTTATAAAAAATTATAATTTTGAATATTTCACAAATCGATTAATTACATACAGAATAAAAACATGTAATGTTATCAACATATTTACTTAAATTACAATAAATTTTTATTGGACGATATTTAATAAAATCATCCAGACGAATTATTGTTGCTCAAATTCAATTTTAAGATGCAGTTTTCCGTTTTCTCCATTTAACAAATCTACCCAGCAGTCTTTGGTGTAATTACCAGGTTCAATATGTTCCCATAAATTTAAAGAATATTCTCCGATGGTAACGTCCTTACCAATCGTATTGTAATCCCTAACTGAAAGCTGAATTGTCGGAGGAGAACTAGTAAGATTTGGTATATACACCGATTCTTCCCTGTTAGCAAATAATGGATATTTAGTTGATTGTCTTAACCCATAAATGAAAGAAATTACCTTAATACCGTAAAAGACCGTATACAAATCCTGGCCAAATACATTTTATCCACTTAAAATCCATAGTAGACTCATAAGTCTATTATATGAAAATTGAGGTTTTATACGAGAGATCTGGTATTAGACAATATAATAACAATACCTGGTTGATATCATATTGAATATACCAGAATTTCTCTCATACCACCAATGCTTTAGACCGTCCTAATTCATGGCAGATCTATCATAGTAAGGGATTATGTATACAGTCTTCACGGTATTACAACTTTCGACAAACCTACCATCGTGGTGTTAATGTTTTCTTAATAACTGCTGTTTTATGTAGATCTTTTTTATTAATACGAACTTTCACATATGGATCACTCGTGCCTAAATTTAAGATAGTTAATATTCCAGTAAAATAGTTCAATTTAATAATTATGACATTTCTTTTTACCTCCTCTATCATGAGCAATTAAGTCTTTAGCCTCAATAAGATGTAAAGTTAAATTTCCAGGTACACCAACAGCTTTATCAACAGGTTTATCAACTATAAAAGAAAAGAAAATTACAATTAAAATAAATAATATATAACAGTAATATTTATCATAAGGATAATTTAGCAATTTTAATATATAAGACTTTAAACAAAGCTGAAAATGTGTTGTATAAAAAAATATCAATCATAAATCATTATATGTAATTTTAATTAATGGAGACTTACCAGAATAAGACTCTATGCTATTTGTAGAGGATCGTTTGTCACTATTTATAGAGGATCGTTTGTCACTAAAACCTATAAAAATAAATCATTTGGCTTTTAATGTGATCTAGTACGCGTTTGATCCACATAGGTAACAAGCATTAAGTTATCAATATGACGCCATTTATAAAATGTGGAATACCATTTTCTTCATTAGTGGGTGAATCTATTACACTAAGTCCAGGATTAATTTCTCTAGTTGGTGAATCACCATTCTTAAGCTTATCATCTTTATCTTTTTTTTTCAAAAGCCCAAATCCAGAGCCGACAAAGCCAGCTCCTGATCTAATAATAGTATCCCCCCTAGAAACTACAGTGCCTCCAATACCGGTGCCTATAGTAGTGAGTGTCCTTGTTGCACCGGCTAAAGTTCCTGTTGTCAACCTCTTCTTTGAGATAAATTGTGGAGAGAAAAGCACTGAAAAATTGATAAAACCAGCGGGCTCGGAAGTTTTTGGATCATACAGTTGCACCCTTCGCTCGGCTTTTTCAAAGGTTGGCAAGTCAGAAAGGTCGAATGTACCGGTGCAAAGTTTGGTGCTAATTTCGACTTTATTCCAATCCCACATTTCAATATAAATTTTATCATAAGTGCGCGATAACTACAAGCATTTATAGTACATATTATTAATTAAAACCTAGAGAAAGTTCAGAAAAAAAGATTGATACGCACCACATTTACTGTGAACTCTTCATTTTCGAAAACAGGGTTCAAAGATTTTTTAATGTGATTTGTTTTATGAACCTTTTCCCCGTTTAGATAAATATAGGCAAAAGGATCACTTGTGCCTTTAGTCAATGAAAGAACATTAATTAATCGACTAAAAAAGTTCATTACAATTAATTAAAGCTTTCCTATTTACCAGAACGGTCAGCAGCTGGTAAATTCTCTGCACTTATTACATTTACTCTTAGTGTTCCCATGTCTATTAAAAAAAAACAAAAAAATTGGAGCAATGCACGTTAAGTATCCATAGATTAAGCTATATAAAACTGCTTACTATTGATGCTTTCCGAAGGGTCTACTTTATATTCCATTGGTAAATACCGCACACCGATAACAAGTTTTGTGCTAGTTAGACCATCAAGAGTGAGTGAAATATTTTCAGGGTCTCTTTGTTCCAATAACTGTCTCACATCCCTTGTACAGGAACCGATAAGAGTTTTGCCGTCATATTGTTTGATGCTGAATGTCAATCTTGCAAAATCCAATTCTTTTATAAAGACATCAGTGACTTCATACAAATGCATATTTTAGTATACATGATACAAGAAAATTATAGACAAGTAACTCGAATCAATTCAAATACCTTGATCCCACTCGGGGTTTGCCGGTTTACATCGTTTTGTTATGAACTCAGGGAATAATCCATTATCAACATAAAGTTCAACAGATGTATCTTTTCTATCTACATTTGCACTTTTAATATGAACAACTAATATTCCGCATTCTAAAAATATAATAAAATATAGGCAAATCATTTTTAAAAAAACATAAATAGACTAAAAATATTTCTTTATCTCACCATAATCAAGCGCATTAATATTTTTAACTCCATTGACTATTTCAGTCTCGCCTTTTTCCTCCTTTTCTGAAAGTTTTTTTGAATCATTTTCTGTATCTTTCACAATGTCCTTTTCTGAATCTTTTACAGAATCCTTTTCTGAATCTTTTTCAGCAGGTTTTTCAACTTTCTTTGTTTGTAAGGTGGGATGAAAACTGGCTGAATAGAAAAGTAAACCCTTGTGCTCATTCGCAAAAATTAAAGGTGAAGAACTATATTAAAAGCAGGATTATTAAAAGTGAATTGGACGTCAAAGTTTTTGCGTTATTCAAATAAATCCGGTTTCATGACGTTTGTCTGAATTTTACTTTACAAAGTATTAAGAGGTCATGTTACACTTACGCATCAAAGAACTCAGTTGCTTGAAATCTTTCTTCTTCATTCAGCTTAGCTAGTTTCTCCACATAAAAATCAACTGAACCAAAATCTTTGCTTTCATGGCTAAGTACTTGTAAAGTTATTGACTCCCTTAAGGAATGTACAGGTACGTAGTGAAATTCGTGTCTCCATTCTGGATTTAGACTATCTAAAACTACTTCTGTGCGACCACGGAAGGTAGAGTTCAATCGAACTATTACATATGGATCGGATTTTCCTATGTGGTCCATAATTTGAACATTATTAGCATTTTTATTAAGCTAGTTTACTAAAATTGAGAAGGCGTTTGGTGTACAATTACAACCTATTCTTTGTATGCGCTTCAGATCTTCAGCTTTTTTAATTTGAATTCTGATCATTCCAATTGCATCCTCTAAAATAAAAACAATGAAAATATATTAATGGCTGAATTTTATTATTGAAAAGTGTTTAAAGAAAATGTCATACCGTATCCGCCATGCTCGATCTCATTATCAAACATTACTGGTTTCCATGTACAGCTTAATCTCAATTTACCAGAATTAGCATCAATTACGTTAAACCAGTCGTTTTTCGTAGCCAATATATCGATAAAATCTTGTAATTTGCTACTCCAGCTACCAACAACTGGATCAGATGTAAGATCACGTGCATCTCTAACCTTGACAGATACTTCAGCAACGGCTTTATTAGTGATGAACATTTCGAACGATTCCTTTCAATAATAGTAATAATGATTATAATAAATGACACGTCTAATGAATATACAAAAAAAAAAAAAAAAACTATTTTGATATACTATACGCACTTCCCAAACTGGACTATTATGTCTTTTGATGGTCTTTGTGGTATAAACAACTTTTCTGTTCAGGCCTAATTCAGCATATGGACTATACTGTCCTACCATCGAATGTTTTGTATCAAGATCTTTAGCTTGATGAATCGTGAATCGTAAAACACCGATATCTACAAAAATTCGTTAAAAAATAAGTATTTTACTATACAAACATCCATAAAAAAAAGACATACTGGATTCCGGAGCTGGGTCCGTATCGGTAGCTTCTACTACTGGGTACCACGTTGCACCAATCTTGATTTCACCATGATTTTTTACTCCAATTAGTACTGGTAATGTACTATACAACAAAATTCCAATAATAAGATTATCTTTGTGAAAAGACAATAAAATGTAATAATAATAATAATAATGATCATATACTACTCTTACATATCTTCTTGTTTTGAATTTGTCAGTAATGATGACAATGAAAACTTGGCTGTACCGAGTGGTTTATCCTTAGCTATTTCGTTGTAATCAAATATTTCAAAATTTAAATCTTCACTCAATGAAGTTAATATTAAGTAATATGTCTCATCCCAAACAGGATTCAACGAATTTTCAATTGTCTTTGTCTTTGCGAGTACTTTATTTCCATGTAAAGTTACTTTAGCATAAGGGTCAGAAGTACCGAACGTTTCGGCATTTTTCAATCCCTTTGCACACATGACTTGAAGTTTAAGTACACCAAGAGCAGATTCTATTAAAAATGAGGCACATTTAGAACATAATAATAAGAATATAATAATAGTACTATAAAATGAATCTAATGCAATAAAAAAAAAAAAAAAATCTTATACCGATAGGATATCCACTGAGAATACTCTCCACATCTAAGGTATATACACTTGGAGCGTACATCATAGGACGCAATGTTGAATGAATTTGATCTTGAATAAACGAATGTAGCCCAGGAATCTAACAATATTGATAGCCACCTAAATATTTTTTATATCTAAGACAAATTATAAATAAATTAACAGCCTTACATGGCTAATATCAAATCCGAGCATTTCACCTCCGATTGGCTTCAAAGCATAATCTATCTTTGGCTCTTCCAAGAAGCATAAGTCAATAGTTTTGATATGTGGGAATGTGTTTATTAACTTCATTTTAATTTGTAAATGTCCAGTAAGTGACATATCCTCAACCAATATAGGAATACCGGCGCCAACCACACCCCTTCCTAATCGAACCGTAAGCACAACTTTTGGATTAACTTTGTTTTTCAATTGAGCCCTTGTCATGTTTGCAAGGTCATTTGGATTAAAAGTAAGCTTCCAATCCATAACCTTAAAACAAAAATTACCAATAACAAAGCCTCAAATTAATTCTAATTGTAATCCACAGAGTAAGAAATTATCGATAATAGTTAATATAATTTACCACAATATCATCATCAGTTTTTGCGTGGGTCTTAATAGATTCAATAGTGGCAGGTTTTGTACCTAATGTGAACGTTGTCAAGCGAACTGAATCCACGAAAGTGGGAGTTGCGGCAGCCAATATACCATCAGCAATGCCAACAATCGTTGATGATAATATAGGCTCATATATAAGCCAAAAACGACGTAAAAATTCATTCATCCATTCAGCTGATTCACCAGTCATCACTTCAAGTCTTTCTCTGGTAAGTTCACGAGAAATATCGCTACGCGCATTGCGATAAAAACGTCTCATAGAATTTTTGTAATAAGTTGCTAAAAAATTAAAATATTGGACAAAATATTTTATTAAAAAAAAAAAATGGAAAATTGAGTTATAGATAATTGAATTAATAATTACCAACAAAAGCACAGATTATAATAATCCAACCCAGACCACCACCAAGAGAAGTAATTATCCATGTAGCAAATACCGAAATAAAAATCACAGAAGCATTTAACCAAAGATTTCCATAATACAATTCGCTCAAATATTCGCCAAAAATATCATGATCAATGTCAGTTGGACCAAATTCAGCGACATTTTGCCAACCTATACGCGCCCAGTTTGGAATTCCAGAGGTAGATTTTGGTGCCTGAGGAAAATCGCACGGTAAAGTCGACCCTTCCTCTTCCTTTTTATCTGTAACCTGGTCTAAAGTAGCGTCTGAAATGACCCCCTTGACAGCCGGCATTGCAGTTAAGCCAACCTTAGTACTTCCTGCAGCTTGCTTGGCTTTTTCTTCGGGAGGAGCATCAGGCTCAAATACATGTATTTGTGTTGTAACATCCTTAAACTCATGGTTTAATTCACTTTCAAGTGCATGGTTTATTCCTGCTTCAATTTCGGGGTTTTCTTGAGTAGGTTCTTGGGCCATTTGAAAAAAAAAAATCGAGTATTTTTTTTTTAATTTAAAAAACTTACGATAAAATTAACATTATATACCAGTACTAAATACGTGGGAAACACCGCATATCGATACTAATAATATATTATCGTTATCTATTAAAATCACGAAATTTACAAACAGTTTAACGAATTAAGCAAAAATTAACAAACTTTAAAATATAAGAGGAAGGGACAGCGCCCGACGTGAAACACGAGATTCCAAGCGGGCGTTGTCAATATTAAAACGCCAATTTTAGAGTATATACGAATTATGTAATTACATGTCATCTATACTGTGTATAATTGTTTCTCTTAACTTTAATGTTAACGTTGACGTATAAATATCGAAAATGGTCTGATCTCAAACCCGGTTTTAATAAAATTTATCTCGGAAATAAAAAAATTAAACAGTTCTGCCTAAATAGTGTAAAGATCAAATTATTTATTACCAAAATTTTCGTTATTAGATTAAGGTAGTCATACTAAAAATTTTGCAACCACTTTTTTTTATTAATTCTGCGCATAAGCAAAATTTTAATAGCTATTCAAATTTAAACACATTTGCTACGTATACAATTTGTGAAATAAAAAAAATTTTTAGAATTTCGCGTTCTATAAAAATTACACAAAGGCGTGGGTAAATAGAGCACCAATAAACCGGGCAGACCCAAAAAAAATTGCTACGTATGACATATTTATAAAAAATATATATATATAATATAATTATATCTAAGAAGATATATTATGTTTAAACAACGATTATTGAGAAATTAATTGGCCAGAGTTTACAAAAAAATGTTAGTTACGAGCAGTTGGGACAATTTAAATGTAATAACTCGAATTTTATTAATACACTTTCGGCAACTAAGTGTTCAAAGTTAAATATATAGTAATTTATATTCAGATATCTAATACTGTTTATTCCTAATATACAAATCAGTTAAATAAAAAAAATTACACAGTTAGGTTAGGGTTAGTAATTTGCTATTATTTAGTATTTAGAAACACTATCTGCTATATATCTGATATGTTGTATGTCAGAATGGAATAGAATCCATTTAGGTTGGTTTAGAATCCACTTGTGTTGATTTAGAATCCACATGTGTTGATTTAGAATCTACTTAGGTTAATTCAAATAAACATAGGTTGTGTAATAAAATTCTAAAATGTGCTCGAGTCATTAAAGAATCCCAATTCAACTTATAATAAAATTAAATTTATTACGTCGTTTTGGAATTTAAATCGCTTTTAAGATACGGTTTATTCATAATGTAGTGCATTGCAAATTAAAAGCATTACATGAATACGTAGTAGGATGGCAACTACTCCCACAAGGTACATTCATCTTTTTACGTTTTTGCAATTGCATTTGAGTGACGAAAAGGGAAAACCTGTAAATCATGTCAATCAATGAGTGAAATGATTTACAGGTTTTTCCTTTTCGTCACTCATTTAATATTGCCTACTTGTAAAGAGGATTGCTAACAGATACTTCTCGAACGTTGAAGACATTACATTCAACTCTAATAACGAATTAAAGATTCTTGAAAAAAAAAGTTCGTTATAGAAAATTATTTACTATGTTTTCTTAAGAATCCATTGCACTCTTTACATTGACTATTGCGAAATTTCGTTCTAAGAAAGTTAGCAATTTATATATGTAATTCCAATAATGCCGAATTTGTATCCAAGCAATATGTCCCATTCTCCAAAGCTTTGAGGATCTCGCAGAAGAATATCTTTTGATCATTGTGCTTGTATTTGCCGGATCTTGTAAAACCTTGACTATTAGCTGATTTGTTGCTAGGATATTGGAAAGGCAAAATGAATCATGAGATTCGGTTATCGGTTAAAGAGTTTGCAAAGGATGAAAAAGTGAAAAAAAATAGTATTTTATTATTATAATGATGTAATTTATTTAACTAAAATCAACTTGCTATTAAATTCATTGATTATTACAAATATCAAATTTAGAATCAACTTAAGTTGCTTTAAATTTTACAACTAATTTTATTAATGCGCTAATCTTGAATTTGACTGGCTAGTTAAAGCTGACACCTAGAATTAATAGTTTCGCTAAAAAAAACTTTGTTATTTATAGTAAACCAAAACTTTTGAGGAAAACTTTTCTGTTAGGCAGTTTCATAGGCAAATTTTAAGTTACGAATGTTTTTAATTTTACGTTTACATGTAATTTTACGTAAGTTTAAGAAAATCATACGTCATACATAAAGTACCAGATTTACAAAAGTTTCGGCCAGTATTAACTCTTAAATTGCCGAAAATTTGATCTCAAAAAACTAAATGTCATGTGCTCAAATACCTGAAATTCAGTTGGACTTGGTCTAATTTCTTAACGTTAATACTGGCCAAATCCAAATATTCCATCACATGACTTTTGGATTGTCGTTATCAAAAAAAAAAAAAACGATCAATTCTACTTTTAATAATTCTTTTTCAAAATGGCAAAAGAAAAGTCCGGCATTGCCTTAGGCTTGAATAAAGGTCATAAAGTAACACCACGGGAACTGCGACCAAAGCCTTCTCGAAGAAAGGGGGTATGTCTTTCATGAACAAGATCTTTATTAAATAAATTTACTCGGTGGATCAATCAATTCTTTACGTCTTTATTCAAACAGGTCACTGCACGTCGGACAAAATTTATCCGCGATGTAATTCGGGAAGTTGCTGGTTACGCTCCTTATGAAAAACGTGTAATGGAATTGTTGAAAAACTCAAAAGATAAGCGCGCAAGAAAATTGGCCAAAAAGAGAGTTTGTATTCTATTCTAAATTCATTTTTATTTTTTGAATCTATTTCAGTAATTTACTTATTTCTAATTCATACCTTTTTAATAGCTGGGGACCTTTGTTCGTGCAAAAAAGAAGGTTGAAGAACTTAGCAACATCATTGCTGAGTCTCGTCGGGCTCACTAGATATCAATAGACTCTTTTTTTTTCCTATTAGTTTTGTGTTTGATGCATTGATATATGTCTTTACAAACGTTGCGTGATAGCTATTATATTGAAAAACTAATAAAAAATGACAATTATATTTATGAATTATTATTAAAATTTAAAAATTCGGAGTAAAAAAAAAGTGTAACCGGCTGTGACAATAATCGAATTGTTAAAGTTAGATTTAGGATTATAATAGTTCATGTACAGTTATACACGCTGACAAAACAAAAATTTCAAAATCCCACCCAAATCTCAAATCCCATTCCAAATATAATAAAATTCGTCTCAAATCCCAATCCCAATTCCAATAGCTTTGTCAGCAAGTATATGTACGGTAAAATTTTGCAAGGTTTATTTTTTGTTAAGACACAAAGTTGGACAAGTTGAGTTATTGTGATTTGAAAATTTTTGAATCGTGCAATCAGAAAATTCACTATTTATTGCAGTGATATAAATGACGGAAAGAGAAAACCTGTAAATTGATTCATTACTTTTCATCTTATCAGACTCGGTCTCAAGGTGTAAAAAAAGAAGTGGTAAAAAACCGAGTTTTGATTTTGTAAAGAAATGGCAAAATAAATGAAGAGTTTAACTTTTTTTTAGAAAAATTTCTTTTGTAAATTTGTATTATTTCGTTAATATAAAATATATAATTCATAATAATTTTTAAATATTTTTAATATAGTAATATATATTTAGTATAAATTTTGGTTTTTTAAAAAATTTAATATTTGTATTTAAAATGAATCTAGATTTAGTCAAAATTCCAATAATTCAAATGTTATTAATAATCAACTATCAATTATAAGTTAATTTATTATATTATTTAACAATTAGTTAAAACTGTTAATTTGAAATAAACTTAATTGTTGATATTTAACAATTAGTTAAAACTGTTAATTTGAAATGTACTTAATTGTTAATTAGTTAATTAATTTTATACTAAATGTTACTAACAAATTAACTATTAATTTGTTTTATTTATTTATTTAGAAATTTTTATTTTCTTTTATAATTAAATTTTTATTTTGTAATTTAAAATTTCTATTATAACATTATATATAAAAAAAAATTAACTAAAATATTATTTATTAATAATAAAGACAATATAACAATATTAACAAAATAACATTTTTATCCACACACTCTTTCCAATGATCATCTGGACCAAACTTTTCAAAATGCTGAACTACAGAAAAATGATATAGTTAATATATTAAACTTTATGAAAACTTCTCTGGAGTACTAGGCATGCATAGTAAGCATTTAAATAGAGTTAAAAAAGAAGCTATCACTTTGTGATGACAGTTTAAAAAAACTCTGGAACTATAAAAGAAGTGGTTGGTGAAAGCCAAAAGTTTCTTATACAGTAAAAAATAGTATTAGATATATTAGTTTTATACAACTATAAAACTTACAAGAAACTCTCAAAAAGATTAAGCACTTACAAAAACTATAATTTGGTTCACCTTACATCTTTTCTTTTTTTTGAAAAAAATTTTGTAAAACATATATGATTCAGTTTATCTCCTCCAAAAGATCAACATATAAAACACCAAAACAGTTAACAGTATTTACTTCCTAATTGGGATTGTATAAACAATATAGTAATACAAACACAACTTATATACATGTCTCAAACTGCTGAAACTCTGTAAAATATTGTCTCTGGACTAATCAGTACCTCATGCCAATTTTGTACATTCAAGTTGAAGTTTTATTCTATATGATTTTTGTTAAATCTTCTAATAAATAGAAAAATAGTAGAGTTATTTCTATTCAGTATAGTTTATAATTTTTAAAAACCTGACATAGACTTATAATTGTAATCATTCGATAGTCATATAGTGAGAATCATACATATCTTTTCTTTTTTTTACTTTTACACTTTTTCTCTTTATTTTTTGCATTTGTATCTTTTATCGTCTACCTCTATATCTCTGTGTTTTTTTATATAAGTTTTTTTTTATTTTTGTTCACTTCTCTATAAGAAGATGTTATCAAATTGGCAATATTCTATTGTAGAATGATAGTCAGATGCAGCCTTTGACATACTCTAATTTCTTTTAAAGTTAGACAGTCAGTATAGGCAGATTGCTTATAGGGACTCATAGAAGTACTTGCAGGATGTTGGACCAAAATTTATGAACTATTTTGTATATATGTAATACAAAAATATATAATAAAGATGACTAGCAAGACTGCTCAAGTAAAGAAAAAAAATATATATATAACAATATTAAAATATTATTAAATATTAATAAATTATTAAAATAGAAGAGTTTTTTTAATATTATCAAATATTAGCTTATAATATAATTATATATAATAAATTATTTTAAAAATATTAAAAAATATAATAAACATATAATTTTTTACAACAATCATCTAAATCAAGCTGGTACCAAAAGTAAATTAAAGACTTTGGCTTTAAAGTAGATAATATTCTTAGTTTTATATTAAGTAAATTTGTTGTTAACAAAGTTCAAGTATATAAAACACTAAGAAGTTAGTAAAACTTAAGTAGTTCTTGCTTTGAGTTAAATTTTTTGTCTGACAGACTTTTTTGCATATTTGGCATCAAAACTGAAAAAATATTCTGAAAACAAATAAAATCAAAATTAGTTTTTTGATTAAAAATATAAAAAGCAGAAGAAAAAGAAAAACAACTAGGAAAACTTTTCTTAACTTAAATTTTTATAACAACAATATATATAATTTTTGTTTTTTTTTTGTTTTTTTTTTCAAAAAATAGAGATTTGGCTTACTTTTATCAAAAGATTAATATTGTACATTATTTCTTTTTGTAGTTATATGCTTATTTAAATATGACAAATAAAAACACAATAAACATATAAGTTAGCCAATCATATAAAATAGATCAAAAAAAATTTTAAATTAGAAAAACTAAAAATATATTGAGATATACATATATTTTAAAATCATGTATATAATATTTTTTAAAAAAATGATTACAAAAGTTTATAAAGAATTAAACTGCTTAAGTATATTCTAAATCTTAGTATAATATTCCAATTATTTAAAGATTTCTTCTATATAGAAAGTGTCTAGCTTGAATTCTATTTTATAAATAAATATAGTTTTTATTCTGATTAAAAATATCTAGTTTTTAAAGAATAGTTATAGCTTATAAAAATATAAAAACATTATAGCAAGTAGTAATTATAAAATAAAGTTTTATTGTATTATCAAGTTTTCTCTTTTATTCTTATAGATTAGTTTTGTTTTCTTTTTGTTAGTTTTATTTTACTTCCTATTTTCATTTTTCTTTTCTACAATTTTAAAAATTTTTTTTTTCTTTTTTACAAAAAGATGTTTTTAAATTGGTAATATCTTATTGTAGAATAGAGATTAAACAAATTATAATTTTTAGTTCTAACTAGATTGATACAATAAGTTACATTTAAGTACTGTTTAGGTAGCTGAATGATAGTAGACTTATAAGTTAAATAATATTTTGTATTTATGTATATAGCTACAAATAGTTTAATAAAGTACTATTATAACTGCTTAAAAAAATAAATATATATATATATAATAAAATATATATATTATTTAAACATCTATCATTTTTAATTACAAACTCTTTCTGCTGATTACTTGCACACAAATTTAATAAGAAACAAAAACTAAGTTTACACAAAAACAGCTATTCAAACTACATTAGAAGGTTTAAAAAAAAAAAAACATTCAGAAAAGGTATAAGAAAAAAGAAAACAGTTAAAAATAGTAGACTAACAAGAAAGAAGCAAAGAAAACAAAACTTTTTTTACAAAAAATATTCAAAAACTAAAATTTTTTAAAAAATCAGCATTAACTCTGTATTGCAGATTTGTTTTGATTATAAGAATATAAACAAATAATCAAACTAGTCATATGCAAAAAAAGCAAAACATATATGTGTTTAATTAGTACTAAAAGTATGAACATATTAGAAAAATGTAGTGACAGTATAATAACAACATATATTAAAAGAGCATACTGAGCTATTAATAGTATGCACAATAGAGTATTTCTTAAACAAACAGATAAAACATATATAACACCTAATAAAGAAGACAAAATTGTTATTATGCTAACAAAGCAGAACTCAGATAAGATTGCATTATTGAAAATAATAAGAGAGCTAATAGAAGGAGCAAAGAAAGAGTAATCAAAAAAGAAGCTAAATCTAGTAAAGCAAAGTAAATATACAATAGTAATTGAACTGACCTTAGAACAAATATATAACAAATCAAAAGAATAATATTAAATAACAAAAACAGAAATAATCCAAAAAAATGAACAAGAATCAGTAACAAAACTAGAATTAGAATATGAAAGATAATATGAGAAAAAGACACAAGAAACCAGTATAGCAACTTAGCAAGAAGAAATAACAAAGGTAAGTTTGAGTAGTAAAAATAGTGAAACAAAAACAAAACAAATTCTACAAAATCAAAAAGGAATAAAAGAGCATAAACAAAAAAATGTAAATGCAAATAAAAAAAACTAAATGCAATATAACAACAGAAGAAAAAGAAAAACAACATAAAATAAAACAAGAAATTGAAAAGAAATCAATATAATAGAAGTATCACTAGAGAAGAATATGTAGTTACCAAGCAAAAGAAACTGTAATTAATATAACAGCCTACTTGCCAACATATTAGCACACAATGTGTTAGAAAAACAAGTAAAGAATGTACTAAGTTTATTAGATGATTATTAAAAGACAATAAACATATCAAAGACATCAAAAAGTTTCAAAAGAGAGAACTTATAGATAGAAGTAAACTTTAACTGCAAATATGGCAGAAATGAAGCAATACAAAGAATCAGCAGAAAAAAGAATAACTGGTACAAAATAATATTAGAAGAAAGAAGAGAAAACAAGAAAGAAAAATATAGAAAACTTAATAAAAAAGCATAGCAAAAAAGAAACAACATGCTAAGAACAAAAAAGAAGAAGCAAA